ATTCAACAGTGCAGGCAGAAAAGGCAGAGAAAAAAGATTCCACAAGATACAGCTTACGGCAAAATTGAAAAAACTTAACTCCCTGGTCTGGTAAACAAAAAACTCTGTTCAATCTCATAATAACCACCAGCTTTCACTCTCAGTGAACATTAATAGAAAATCTTCACATCTAAAAGAGAAAACCCACATTTCTTGATTTACTTTTGTCCCGAAACGCGGGTATGCATAATTCTTCAGCAGACTCCACTTATATATAAATATTCTCTCAAAACAAGTTCATCTAAGCAAATCTGATGATCATGAAGGCCATTCTTTCATCATAACAAAAGTCTATACTACTCAGGAAAAAAAATACATTTGGCTAAACTACAAATTTAAAATCCACTGAAACAGTGCAGAACAACATTTGGCTCATAAATCAGGATTATGTCTAATGAATACCAAAACTGGAAGTATCCTGCCGAGGCCCCATGCAGAAACGGAATTTTGGTTTGAGACCTCAAAGTTATCAGTAATAGAGCTGCACCTGATTGACTAATAAAAGGAAAACGTTAAATTTCCTGTAACTAGAGTCATGAGAACCCTGACACGGTATAATCAGTTCTTTGGCCCTGCATTGTATTTGCACAGGGTGCTTGTTTACCCTGAAATAACAAGCTCTCTGGGGTAGAGAGCAATCATGCACTGTCACACTTCACAAATATGTTATACCCTATAAAGAGCAAAGCCTCTATTAGTATAAAGGTACAAAGTTCAGCTACAGCACTGTGTCTTTGATTTCTTGGTGTTATGGAACCCATTGCGTTCCACATTGATCCTTGCCCTGGGCTTTGGAAACAGCTCCATCAATATAGTAAGTAGAAAAAAAATATTGTGGCTTAAAGAAAGAAAAACTACTTATGTATAAACCTCAACGCTATGGAAGAAAACTAGCGTCTTCCTCTCAGTTTGTGTTTAAATGGATCTAGCATTAACCAATACAGTATATACAAATGGTCACTATTTCAAGTATTTGAATAAATATTTGTCCTTTCTTGTCTCTCAGATTCCTTTTCATCCTCAAGCACAAAAACTTGTGGCTCACTTGCATATTTATGATCCTGTACAGTAGTAGCAGATGTATTAAATTTCATGACTCTCCAGAACAAACACATCTTGATTCAGATGACACATACTTACTTTTTGTTGTAGTTCAGTTTCACAGCCCTAACTAAAACATCAGAACTGACATTTTGAGATGAATTTATAATATGCTTACATGATCATTTTGTGGTTTTGCAGCATATCTTTTCAAAAGGATTTAGGTGCTTATTGTGGGGATAATCAGAAAATATGAACTTGTATAGATGAAGATTGAATGCAGATAAGACAAAATGAAAAATTAGTTGCAGAAGTAAAATAGCTTCAGTTTATATACACATAGCTATGTGTTCTTTAACAGAGCTTTTTTCCTAGATTGCAAAAAAAAACCCCAAAAAACAAACCAAAAATGCAACCCCCCTGAGGACTGTGGATATGCCAAATTGGAATTCCTGAACTTGTCTGCCATATTCTTCTCACGCAACAGTGACAATGATATGTTTCCCTCAGTGATTGCCTTTACTTCTGTGATTGTTAAAAATAAAATGTTATTGAGTGCTATGTGAAAGAGGCAACATTTGGTGAGTAAACAGGGGCTCTGAGGAAATCAGTTATGTTGCAACTCATGTGCAACAAAGCTCGGCAGGACAATTACTGCCCTCACTGTAATGGTTCACTGAGGAAAACCAAGAGTAAAGTAGGTGACCTACATGTCACAAGATGACTTGTGCATGTCACTACATGAGTGTCTAAAGATAGAATCGTAGAATTGTTGAGGTTGGAAGGGACCTTTAAGATCATCAAGTCTAACCATTAACCTAACCTGCCAAAACCACTTCTAAACCATGTCCCCAAGTACCACATCTACCCTTTTTTTAAACACCTCCAGGGATAGCAAATCCACCCCCTCCCTGGGCAGCCTATTCCAAAGTTTGATAACCCTTTCAGTGAAAATTTTTTTCTTAATATCCAATCTAAACCTCACCTGGCATAACTTGAACCCATTTCCTCTCATCCTATCACTTGTCACTAGGGAGAAAAGGTCAGCCCCCACCTCTCTACAACCTCCTTTCACGTAGTTGTAAAAAGTGATAAGGTCTCCCCTCAGCTTCCTCTTCCAGGCTAAAGAACCCCAGTTCCCTCAGTCGTTCCTCATAAGACTTGTCCTCCAGACCCCTCACCATCTTCGTTGCCCTACGAAGGTGCCCTAAAGATGCCCAACAATATGGAAAAAGACAATGACAACATAAGCAAGGAGCAAACAGTGAGAAGGAATGAAAAAAAAGGACAAGGTTGGAAGAAATACACGATGCATCATTGGGAGGAATACTGCTGACAAAGACAACATGGTTATGAAAGCAGAAGATGAATGATTAATGTAAGAAAATGCAGCAAAACCAGAGGAAAGAATAAGCATGAGTAACAGTTGAAACAGATTAAAAAATTAAATTCCCCAAAACAAAAGTGAGGTCACCAGAAAACATCTTCAGAAAAGTGACATTGTGCATCAAGTGTTTGGCAGTAAGAAGAACAAAATTTCCACTTTCTCATATATAGTTTGTGTGTCAATACAAATACAGAAAAAACTACAACTAAACCCATAACATAAAATGGTTGCACACTCCTGTAAGCTTGTGTGGGTGGGAACAAAGCAGCATATAAAATGCAAAGCCCAAACCCAAGAATGAAATAGTGTACTAACAGAGGATAGAACCTCCAGCTCTGTCTATACAGCTGAAAGTAAATGTGAGGACAGAACGCAAGGTTGAAATTCATTTATGATTCTTCTGTTCTCTTCCATTTGCCAACTTCTTTTGCTATGTTGGCAAATGGTCTTTGTTTCTTGTACATTTCCAGTCTTCATTAAGAGACTATCTTGTGAATCATTACCAAGGAAAAGTACCCGTTCTCCTCACCACAGTCAGGCTGCAGCCCAGGTGCTCCATATGGAGCAAGGTATTGAGTCAAGTGCAACAATAGTGGGATAAAGTATTTGCTCTCTATGAAATGGACTCAACTCATCTCAACTCAGCAATGTTGCCTGGATATAAATAAAGACATTTTTGTTATTATATTCTACTAAAAGAGATGGAAGTGACTTCATTTTCACAAGGGACTCAGGATTGACTTGGCTCTGGTGGATCAGAGGTCGCTCCTGGCTCCTGTGGGAGCCAGTAGATGTACACATTATTCTTATTAAGTCAGTGATGACATAATTGAATACAATCTATTTGACAATGAATGAAGATAAAGAAGGGTTAGCAAGATTTGGTGGATGGGGGGAAAGAAAGCACACACAGCTCCAGAGTCACAGTTTGGAGCTATACAGTCACTGAAAAAAACCAGCTTATTTTCTTCTTTGCTGGCTCTGTTGCCTTATGCTATGAGAACCCTGCATAATCTGTGACTTTTCTTCAATGTTTGATACTGGTATTAGTAAAGTCTATAGAACAAAATTCTAGTTTTGCAGACCTGTGCAGTACCCTAAGACTTCTTTCTCATTCTGTATAGACATTCCTTACAGAAACTAAGGTGCATTCTACATAAAACTGGAAGAGAGCATACATCTTCAGACAGTGAGCCAGATTCTGGTCAGAGCAGTACCAATACAAACCGCACATAGGAACAGCTTCTCTGCATTTGTATGAGACAGTAGAACTTGGTCACAGGCAACCAGAACTCAGACAGCCTAGGACAGAATTTTATCAGGTGTCACCTACAAAATGTTGCTATCAGGTATATTTTCTATATTTCATGCTTTAAAAACCAAAATCTATTGTTTAATTTTGCATTTGGTAATGCCACAAATAATTTCATTTCTTTAGTGATTACCAAATTATAGAAAGCTGTTGTTCCAACACAGGCAAACAGCACTGTAAGCTGACTGACCTGTCCTCCTTAATTTAACTAGGCAAGTAGGAGCATATGCTGAAGTACTACACAGAAGGATCACTTATGCAGTTACGTGTTCTGGAAAGGTCTTCTCTACCTATGTATGCTACCACCAAGGCCACAGAAACAAAAATTGCCCTTTAATCTTTCCGGTGGGTAATCTCTAATGTTCTCATGGAACCTCCATACCTACGCTAGTAGCATAGCAACCATTATCAGGCTAGTAGAACTCAATCTGTCTTCATTAGCTCTGGACATGTGTAAGTCACTAACACCTGTCAGTAAATAGACTTAGCAAAATATGTACTGCTATATTCTAATACACCAGAGTAATAACATTGGAACCAACATTACTATTACATGTACAGATGTCTTAAACTGTTACAAAGGCTGTCCAGTGATACCTTGTTTCTTTTCCAATGGCTGGTTAGGAAGAGTTCCTCATGAATTAGAGAGCAGAATGACTATCTGAGAAAAAGAAAAACACTATAAACACTACAAAAGTTTCTGCTGTCCGTGTTGACTCTACATCTATGCCTACATTTCCAGCACAGCATTTTCACACTAGTCAAGCCTGTCCACTTACTACACATAGTTTCAAATGAATTTAACACTTGAAAAGTAAATATGAATTCAAACATTTTGTATTAGGTCACAAAAAAAGGTCTAAGAAGAGATACTTCTATCAACAAACTTGGCCTTACCTATGTATTTAGCAGTCATTGCTCTAACAATCTGCTATCTAATGAGTGGCAAGGTCCAGCTACTGCTATGGAGAGACGGCCAAGTCTGGTAGCCAGGCTGGCAGGACAGGAGCCACATCAGCCACAGCCCTGTCCTACTGCTCCTAGACAAGGCATGCAGAAGAGTTAGAGGTAACAGCCAAGGTACTCAGAGAGCCCAAACAAATTTGCAGTAACTAGGCTAGTACAAATTCCAGCCAGCAAATCGGTCTGTGGGCCTAGCTTATTGCTAGGCACAATCACAACAGAGCTTAAAGAGTGACTGAAGGCCAGGCTAGAGCACAAATGGAGTTCCTGCACCCATGGGCAGAGGTGTGGGAGAAGCCGCAGGTGAGGTTGGTCAAGGTCCTTAAGGCATATTAGTGTACTCAGAGCCCTGACAACATTTTGGAACCTATACTAACAGATTGCTCACACATGGCTAGAATCAGTTTGCAGATAGCAAAGGTAGAGGACAGCAAAAAGTTCAGCTGACATTTTCCTGGTTTTTATCGTACCACTGTATTGCTGTATTTTTTTTCACTTAATTTCACCACCTCAAGTTCAAGGCCTGATTATGATACTTGAAAAAAATCCACAAATATTTTTAAAGTTTTGTGGTTTTGTTTTGTTTTTTTGTTTTTTTTTTTTTTTACTCCAACTTTGTGGAATCTGCTTAATACTGTCTAAATCTCCCATATTTACATTTTCCTACAAAAGGACTATTTGTAGAAAAGCTTTTACTGTGCTTTAGTATGGGATATATACCTTTCCCCACAATTTTTCCTGATGCTCTCTGTATCTCTTAATCCTGAAACATTCCTGATATCTTCATACTTGAAACAGTAGGAAAAGATGGTACAGGCTTATCTCTGCATGAATTCCTCGGCTACACTCATGGTCTAAGCAGTACAGACTACAGTCTTAATAAAAAAAAAAAAAAGTCAGAAAGGAAAAAAATCAGTAACAGGTTTCCACTACACTCTTCCTAAGTTGCCACCTTCTGTTCTCACATAGGGCGAGTAGGTGAAGAACAAAAAAGATAAAACTAGCTCAGACTATTTTTGAACTATTTCTTTCAGCTGTTTTTGTTTGCACTGTTACAAAGCCTTGGCAGGCAAGGAAAATATTCTCAGAATAGCAGATTTCTTGCTTTGTTCTACATCTGTTCCAAAACCATACAATTGTATTTGAACAGCTGGCCAGTAAAATGCAACTATCAAACATGACAATGACATATGATCACAGTGTTCTTTGTAGAGGACTGAGGTTTCAAAGCTGAATTAAACCCTCAGATTTACACATCTGGGTCTTAGAGGTACATATTCAGATTTAAATCATACTTCTTATTTTTCTTGAATTGAGCTTTCTATTGGCAATGAAGAACAAACAAGTACTCATTATATCAAAATAAAAAACTGGAACTGCTCTGCAGAAAAGAATTTCCTGGTGCTATTACTAGGACTAGAACCAAAGGAGCTCAGTCTGGCCATGTGTCATTACTGTGCTACATGTAATTTTAGAGTTTTGAAATTGTATTTTGGTTTTTATGCAAATTTGTAAAGAAGTTCAGAAAAAACCTTGACGAGCATCCATAACTCCTTCTGTGTCCTCATCTACTTTGTAACTTTCACATATACCAGCTTTCACATAACCCAATTCTGAAATGCCCCTTTACAATCTTGAGGCCAACTATGTTGTCCTCCTAAGTTATGTGCCTGCCGCCCTATATGGACAAGCTTGAATTTACGCCTACAATCTTCATAAAATCTCTCTTTACATTTAAAAAACTCTAAGAGGATGTCAAGGCTATTCCTCTGTTAGGAAATAACATTGACCTAAGCTAAGCTTTTAAGTAAAGTTTCTTGTAACTGCTGCAACAAACGCCGTAATTAACAGTTATAATAACATTCAGAGATTTTTATGCTTATACTGAATGTGATCTGTACAGCATGTGCTCTCCAAAATATAAGTGAAAAACAAATTAATTAGCTACCGGAGGAAACTGACGACTATCACAGTACACGTCACTACTAAAGAAGTGCTGAAGCAACTTGCTTATTGAACGATGATTTTTATAAAATGTGATTAGTGTTAGGCACTGCAGGCTCTTTCACACATTTGTCTTGATGCAGGTTCCCTTTCCCCCTCCTTTCTCCCTTCTGCTCACGCAATATCAGCTTTCAACCGAAACACTGTAGCACTGGGATGGCTGACAGCTGCCACGGCCTAACCTGAAAGCTAAAAACCCCCACAAACAACAAAACAAAGAGCAGGGGCTAGCTTATCTTCATCAGCTGAACAAATTGCAAAAAACCCAACAGGCGGAACAGGCAGAGCACTGACACGGCAGCATGTTGGAGTGTGAGCGTCACTGCAGCTGTCATGCATCTTCCTAAATCTGGGATTATTATTTTTTTCACCCCGACCCCTTGCACCGGTTTGTGGAAAGGCCGAGCTGCTGTCGGCTTTTCCTGACAGCTCCTTCTCCGCTCTCTCCGGGCAGCACCAATGGACTGATGAGATGCGGCAACGCATATGCACAAAATAAAGCAAAACCCAAATATAATAAAATAATAATAATTAAAAAAAAAAAAAACTGCAACAAAAGTGTATTTTCT